TCTGACCCACTCAGAATGTGATGAAATAAATAAAAGCTAAAATAAATAATTCTCTATTATTCTGACATTTCACATTCTTAAAATAAAGTGGTGATTCTAACTGACCTAAAACAGGGAATTTTTACTAGGATTAAATGTCAGGAATTGTGAAAAACTGAGTTTAAATGTATTTGGCTAAGGTGTATATAAACTTCTGACTTCAACTGTATATAGATCCCGTTCTTCCTCCTTTACTCTTTCTATCAGATTCTTGAGAAACAAGAAGTCCTGTCATGTCCTGATAAGGATTAATCGTATGCTGTTTTTCATCATGATATGACTCTGATGAAAAACAAGTTGTTTCAGAACTTGACTGCTGTACATTAGGCTTACATATTCAATCTAATTGTCATCAGTTGTTATTACCTGTGTGGAGTGGTCCATTTGAGATAAAACATACAATTGGAAGTGGAAATCACTTTATATGATAAGATGAGAGTGCAATTTGACATTTATCTGAATTGACTGTAAAGTTTATGACAACTGGGCAGTTATTTTCAGTTGTGTGGGCAGTTGGGCAGTGACTTTTTTGTCAAGTGACTGAATTTCTTGCTTGAAGACTTGCAGCATGTACAATGGTTAGATGATAAACTGTCTTCGAAGAAACTGAAAGTCCAACTTATTTTTTTGTTCTTTTTGGGGGCGGTGGGGGTGGGGGGGGGCTTAAATTAAATCCAGGGGAGATTCAGCAACACTTGGAGGACAATGGAATTAAATACAAAAGCTTATTGCCAAAAGTAGAACCAACGCGGCAGTGACCCTTCCCTCATAGTACATTAAGAAAATACTTGTACAAGCCACCTTCCTACCCATAATTGACTATGGCAATGTAATGTGTTGTACAGTCACATCCAAAATTATTGGCACCCTTGATAAAGCAAAAAACACTGTATAAAATAGATAATACAAATGCTGAGCTATATTGTATGCTCAAAAAATAGGAAAATAATAACATGTTATATTAATACCATTGCTCAGAAAAAAAGAGTAATAAAAACAAATCTCTAAAATATATGTGTCAAAATTATTGGCACCCCTGTTTTCAATTCTTTGTGCACCCTCCCCTTGCGAGGATCACAGCACTTAGCCTTTTTCTATAATGATTTATGAGATTGAACGATGGAAGGATCTTAGACCATTCCTCCATACAGAATCTTTCCAGATCCTTGATATCCTTTGGTCTGCGCTTATGGACTGCCCTCTTCAATTCAAACCACAAGTCTTCAATGGAGTTCAAGTCCAGAGACTGACATGGCCATTGCAAAATGTTGATTTAATGGTCAATGAACCATTCCCTTGTGGATTTTGATGTGTGCTTGGGGTCATTGTCTTCCTGGAAGATCCACTTAAAGCCTAGTTTCAGCCTCCTGGCAGAGGCAACCAGGTTTTTGGCTAAAATGTCCCAATACTTGGTATAGTTCATGATGCCGTTGACCTTAACTAAGGCCCCAGGACCAGTGGAAGCAAAACAGCTCCATAACATCAAAGATCCACCACCATATTTACAGTAATAGGAATGAGGTTATTTTCTTCATATGGATCCTTCTTTCAAGGCTAAACCCACCATTGGTGTGATGGCCTAATAACTTTGTTTTTGTCTCATCTGACCATGGCACCCAGTTCCAAATCAAGTGCCAATGCCGTTCAGCAAACTCCAGGCATCTACATTTGTTGGTTGCTTTTCATGGCAACCCTTCCAAATAGCCTATTGGCATGGAGGTGGCGTCTAATTGCAGATTTGGAGACTTGGTGACCCCAAGATGCAACCAAGTTCTGTAATTCTTCAGCTGTGGCCCTTGGACTCTTCTTTGCCTCCTAAACCATCTTCCTCACCATGCGTGGAGACAAGATATACTTGGGTCCTCTACCAGGCAAGTTTACCACTGTTTCTGTGGTTTTAATTGTTGCCATAATAGTGGTAAGTGGTACATTTAGTTTTTCAGTTGTTGTTTTTGTACCCAATGCTTGATTTATGAAAATCAACAACCATTTGTCTCTTTTCATTTTCTGAGTTCTTTGCCTTTCCCAATGGTGATGGATGACAAATGGATTTGACATGCGTTACCTCATTTTTATACCCCAGTGAAACAGGAAGCCATTAAAGGCCACAAGACAGTTCCTTAAACTGAGATTAACTTAAAAAAGTAGAATGGTAATGCAGATTACATTTTGTTAATTTTATTCATAAGAATTGTTAGGGGTGCCAATAAATTTGTCACCCATCTTTTTGAGATTTGTTTTTTTACTTGTTAAATAAAATATATTTATCTGATTAATTGTTTTACTATCAAATTAAATACAAAAGGCCTATAGCTCAGTATTTTTTGCTCATCTTTATTTTAGTCATTTAGCAGACGCTCTTATCCAGAGCGACTTACAGTTAGTGAGTGCATACATGATTTTTTTCATACTGGCCCCTCATGGGAATCGAACCCACAACCCTGGCGTTGCAAACACCATGCACTAACAACTGAGCTACATCCCTGCCGGCCATTCCCTCCCCTACCCTGGGCCAATTATGCACCGCTCCATGGGTCTCCCGGTCACAGCCAGCAACGACAGAGCCTGGATTCGAACCAGGATCTCTAGTGGCACAGCTAGCACTGCGATGCAGTGCCTTAGACCACTGCGCCACTCGGGAGACAAGGGTGCCAATAATTTCAGATGTGACTGTATGTATGCATGCTGCTACCTCCACATTATGTGTTCAATCTTGACATAGTTTATCATGTGCTCTTTTATTACTAATACTGAGTGTCTCACCCACCATTGTGTTGTACACCAGAGTGTAAGCTGGACCTCACTAAACCAGAAGAAGGTTACAGCACTGGTATCTGGCCATTCATCAGAAGCTCCCACCTTACCTCCCTTCTTATGAATTTTAGCAGCTTGTTCACAGGATTGGTTACTTCTCAAAATCTCATATCCATGCACAGACATTGGAAAACCAGTGTTTTGTTTTTACGGGCTATGGTCCTGGAAAAACCTACAGGATAAATTGATACTGGACAGTATGAATTCAGGACCTTGATTCAGAGCTTGGTCATAGAGTTTCTAAACCCAGCGACGCAACATTGCCAGACTTCCGGGAACGCTTGCGAAGCAGACTTAGCAGATCAGGTGGGCCGGGGTTTGGGGTTTGAGAAGTCAATGAGCGAAGTGAAAAATTATTATTTAGTTGTTAATTTTCTCGAAATCTGAAGGCACAACCTAGATTCAAGACAATATCTTAAGAACTGAAGAGGTGGTTCTGAGTGTGACTCAGGAGCAATACCTACCTAGACACATCACTGGGTTTATATAGATCACGTTCTTCCTCCTTTACTCTTTCTATCAGATTCTTGAGAAACAAGAAGTCCTGTCATGTCCTCTTTTGTCTTAGAATACCTTTTCTACTCAAGACTACTAAAGTAGCAGATGTAAAAGAATTGCCTGAGCGGAGTCCCCACATCCGGTTTTCAGGGGAAACAGAAGCAAAGATGGTGGATAACGATGGACATTGCTAGAAGGGATCCAGTTTTTGTCAAATTAACAAATTACTTTTTTGGATTTTAGCTAACCTTAACCTAACGTTTACCATTGTGAAAATATTTACCAAAGCGATTAAAAAAAAAAACTGTATGCTGGTAGCATAGCTAGCATACAGAAATCAGTGGTGGTAGTCAAAGTCGTTTTTAACTGTAATGCAGTTGATTGGTGAAGATTACATGAACATACAGTATATTGGGGTTGACATCCATACAAGCGTTATACTCCGATTTTTACATCAACATTGTGAAATACACATATAAAAAATTGCCTAAATGTAGTCTAATTTTGCTGGGAGATTCAGAGAGGAAACGCCCACTTACACAGAGAACCTTTTCATTTTTTTCAATGGTAAACAGTAGGTTAAGGTTAGGAAAAAGGTTAAGGTTAGCTAAATGCAAAAAAAGTAATTTGTTAATTTGACAAAAGGATCCCTTCTAGCCATGACCATCGTTATCCACCATCTTTGCTTCTGTTTCCCCTGAAAACCAGATGTGGGGACTCCGCTCAGGCATTTCTTTTACATCTGCTACTTTAGTAGTCTTGAGTAGAAAAGGTATTCTAAGACAAAAAAGTAGCTGGTTCAGTGTGTTATCTGACCACAGGGGGGAGCCTGTTGCCTGTTCCAGGTATCCAGTATCTAGTATCCACCCCCACTGCTCCCAGCCAGGGGTTTGGAGCCAGGGGAATGAGTCACAGATAAAATATGATTTCATGCCACGATTTAAAGGGGGTGATTTTCCAAACTGTTTCTTCCTGATTACAGAAGTGTTCTACCATTCTCTTTGATGAAGTCCATGACAATGATAGGAAGACCCATGATGATATACTCTGCTTGCTCTTCAATAGTGTGGGTGTGAGTGGGATTGAATGGAGAGTGGAACTAAGGGTAGTAGAGTGATGCTGTGTGATACTGATATCTGACAAAGTGCTTTCTGGCACTCCTCGCCAAAATAAACACATTCTGAAATCTAATTAATTCCCCTCCAAGTGTACCCTAATTTTGTATGGGAAAATGTTGAACACAAAATGCATATGGCACAAAGATTCTATGTCTCCTTGACAACAGTAAGCTGGCAATGATCACTCTACATACAATAAATCCTGGCTCCATTCTCCATCCCCTCCATCCTTCTATCTTATGCCCTCTCTAAATTTAGTCTCTCTCTGTCTCTCTCTCTGGCTGTTTATCTACCCCCTCTCTGTATCCCCATGGATACAAGATTGTCTGTATACTCAAAAAATCAAATGAATCGTCAAAACCTGAAACACTGTGAAAACCATGTTAAACCAGGGCTGCTACTGTGATTGCTCTCTTGCACTTGCAAAAAGCATTCAATTAAGTTTCTGGGCTGTGAAGTCTCTCAACTGTATCACAACACACAGAGACACATAACCAGATAAAAAAGAGTCACCTTCCTTTCTCATGACTTCTAAAAGTGTTTTATTTGGCCCTCAATGACATCACATCGGAACGAAGATGGAGAATCAGTCCCACAACTGCAGTATGATGCTTAGCGTTGTATTTACAGGGGTTCAACAGCTAATTCTCTATTCTCTATGGTTTTCCACTACAACATTTCTACATGAATCAACCCAGATATGTCCACCATTCTCTCTTCATGGTCTTTTCTGCTTCATGCATGTGTCATCCTCCATTACTGTATCCTCCTCTCATCACTCACTTTCACACTCACTTTTCTCTTCACCATCATTTACCTCTTTGGATCCCTCTCTCTATTTTGCAATTGCTTACATGCTATTTCCCTCTTGCTCGCTCTCTAGCCACCCCTCTCTCTTTCTATACCTCGCTCGTTCTATCCCTCCCTCATCCCTGATCACAGGGCCCCCAGGTCATGGCAGGAGCGGGACTTCTGTCTGAAGAACTTGCCCCCGTCTCGTTCCCTCTCGCGGGGGTAGCGTGGGACCAGGCTAGTGAGGAAACGCTTGGCCCGGTGGGTGATGCTCACCAGGCCGCCAGCCATGTCGTGCCCATAGGTCCCTGGGGGCACCGGGCTGAGGCCTCTGGCTAACCTCACAGCAGACTCCAGGAGCTCCACCGTGCGGTGGTCCAGGGAGGCTGACATCTCCACATACAGACAGTCAAACAGAGTAGCACTGGTGAAGGCCTCTGAGAGAAAGCGAGAGAGAGAGACCCATGAATAAGCACAGTTGTCAGTGGTAAACGCATTACCCATTTAGGATGAGAGCATTTCGGATGAGATTGGGTACACGGTGATGTGTTGTTGTCACAGGTTCATCCATATTAGTTACATGATGAAGCACCTCTTATTCTCATTGTGCTGTGACTCAGCCCAGCTCCCCTCTGGTTGACCTCAGAAACACTACAATATAAACATCCCTGCCTCTCTGGATTTATTGTGTTATTACAGACTACTATCCCCAGGATAAACACACACAAAAAAGCACATATAAAAGATTGAGTGCAAGAGTGCAACACAGAAATCACGGGGAATGAGAAGCTAGATGATGAAAGATGGTGAGAAGCAATTGCCCAAATTTGTCCTAATTAAAGCCTTATTTGTTAATTAGAGAGGTTAAATTATCCCTGACAGCAGAGGAAGAGAGAACCAGTATGGTTCATGTTTTTTCTTCTGAGCATGCTCGTTTAGCTATACCATAAAGCGAGAAGGAAGGGAGTTTTTACCCAGTGACTGTGAAAGTAATTAAGCAGAATGCCTTGCTCTGCTCTCTGCCTCATAATAAGTCAAAGGCCACATGGCTCTGAGGTTACACAACACTCATAACATAAACCCAAAACAGCCAGGCCTGAGGAGCTGCAGTCTGGAGCAACACACAACACACAGACGGTGGGGGTGAAAGAGAGACAGTTTGAAAGACAGAGAGTTTTGTGTACATGTGTGTTATAGGTTTTGGTGACCATACAGCCAAGCTCAGGTGGGTCTTCTGAACACACCACACAGCCTTATCCTCAGTTGATATGTACATCTAGATGAATAGATGAATGTGTGTGTTCTCAGTATCTCATGCACAGTTATCAGCATGCACAGTCCCTCCCCCCATACTCCCACACTGCACTGCAGCTGAAGTGCTGTGCCACTTTCCTTCTATATTTCTATATTTCTCCCTGCACCCCAGTACCCTGCAGAGATACATCATATAACTCAACCTGTCAACACACTGGGTGGAGATGGCAGGCAGGGACAAGGCAATGAGAGATGAGAGCATATATAGGAAGATATCATCTATAGGGAAAGGTATACACTATACAATACTGCAGGTTAAAGTTGCAGAGACAAAGGGCGACCACTCTACCAGTGTGCTGTAACAAAGAGAGGGACAATCTGCCTCACCTTGAGCACTGACCTCACGCGAACGGACCAGGTCACTCTTGTTGCCCACAAGGATGATGGGAGTTTGTGGCTGCATCTCCCTGAGGAGGAGGCGAAGTTGGGCGGTGCGGTGGAAACTATGCCTGTCCGTCACAGAGAACACCAGGACACACACCTCGCACTGCAGAGCAGACAGGTCCTGAGAGAGAGAGGGAGGGAACGAGATCACCACAACCATACCGCTTTACCTTCCATTTAGTCGTATAAATTTCAATGAGAATACACGTCTATGTATTATAAGCCTAGTTTCTACCTGGCGCTAACATGGGTCCTGTGTCCTGATCTTGTCCACATTCTGATTGTACCCACACTTTTAAAACGTGTCTCTTATCTGTCTACTGTGTCTGCATTGTGACCAGATTTTCTGGTCCTTCCCTTTAAGCAAATAATTTCACTGCTATATTTTCCAAATAATATTTATTTATTTATTTTAAGACACATATTGATGGCATAAGTGAATGGTGCCACCTGTCAATGATTTTAGAGGGTGGGATAATGATGATTTAAATGGTTTCACTGTCCAGATCTGTCTACACTTGCACATCCAGACACAATGCGTGTCTGACTACCTCCAGAGATGGTCAGGGAGATCTGATCACAATCAGATCACAGTGCGTATTTAATTGTCTACACCTGTCTAAAAATGTGGGCACAATCAGAATGTGGACAAGATCATGCCAAAGGACGCATGTTAGATCCAGGTATAAACTAGGGCTGGGAATTGCCAGGGACCTCATGATACGATATTATCACGATACTTAGGTGCCGATACGATATGTATTGCGATTCTCATGATTCTATATGTATTGCGATTCGATACTATGATTTTATTGTGATTCGATGTTCCAAACATATTTCTCAGCATATGTCTGCTGCAGAGGGACAAAAGAGAGCCATGAAAAAACACATTTTGATCAGTCATGGAAATAAAAGTGCTGAAAAGAAGTTGGCTCCCTATTTAAAAATAAGATGGAGAACAAGCTATGAAGGAAAGATACTGGATTTTTTGTGCAGGTACAGCCAACTAGCGCATAAATAATATTGCGATATTGTCAAAATGATATATCGTCAAAAATAATATCCCGATATGGAACTGGATTGATTTCCCCCCATCACAATGGGTCTATAGACGTCACCAAGTGAAGAGGTAGAGGGAGGCAGCTCTTCCCTCCCTAAAAATCTATTTTTCTGAGTCTGAATGGTTTGTTTCCACATTTTCCGACTGCTGTGCTGAGAGCCTTGTAAATGAGAGTCAGTAGCAACATTTAATTATAACTCTGGCATGATGAGTGCTCTACAGACCAAGAGTCATATCAAAGAGTGTGTGTGCTTGTGTTTTTTCAACATTTCAAACAAATTATTGTTTTGGTGGTATGCAGTGAAAGCCTGCTGCCTGCAGCAGTCAAGAGTGAGAGTGAAGCCCTGTGCGCTTTCATTCTATGATTCCCTGCTGCCTAGAGACAAATTACCATACCACACCAACTGGGAACCACGTCAATTACTGATGACACACACAGAGAATACAATGACACACACACACACACACTGTATGCCCTTTGAGTGAATCCTTCATAAGTCACTGAAAACGCTTCAGGGACACTGCATGAGCAAAGCTACATTTGTTTTCTAAAATCTGAATTTATGATTTCACTCTTGAGACTGGACTGCATCAAAAGGCTAACTCAAACTCTTCTGAACAGATAAGACAGAGCAGCATCACCAAGATCAGTATCTCCTACAAGACAAACAAAGAACAACGTCTGTGATCCACTTACAGATGTAGGATCTTACTGTTTTTTTCAATCACTTTGGCACATTTTTAGATGTAAGTTGTATATTTTCAAAACTCTAAGCACAAAACTCTAAACTGATAACACTTGTAATGCCCCCTATCTTATGTTAAGGACCTTATATTGTGCATTCATTGGGGTTTCACACATCTTTCACCCCTGAGTCATTCATGGAAAATCTAAGTTTTCTGTGAAATACCATGAGAACATTTTGTTTAGTCACCAATACTGTACATCAGATAATGATAGGCTCCATTTAGTCATTTTAACTACCATTTCATCCAATAGCAAAAATACAAGATACAAACTGTTCTTTTTGAAGTGCTGGTTAGAAAGAATAGTAGTGGGTAAATATAATTTTCCATACAGTATTTGACTAAAACTTGACATGCACAATTATTTTATCATTTGTTTCCAATAGTGAGAATGTTGAGAAATATGTCAGTCTTACAGTTTCATTATCCTTATACAGTACATACGTGTCACGCCCTGACTCTGGGGACTCTTATTTGTTGAGTCAGGGTGTGATTTTCTATGTTGTGATTGTCTATGTTGTATATTCTAGTATGTGTATTTCTATGTTGGCCGATGTGGTTCCCAATCAGAGGCAGCTGTCGCTCGTTGTCTCTGATTGGGGACCATACTTAGGCAGCCTATTGGCACTAGTGGGTTGTGGGATCTTGTTCTGTGTTGAGGTATGTTGTTTGTGTACCTTGGACTTCACGTTTCGGTTGTTGTTTTGTAGTTGTTTATTTGGTTCAAATAAACATGTATGCATATCACGCTGCGCCTTGGTCTGACCCGTTCATGAACGAACGTGACAGAAGATCCCACCAAACGAGGACCAAGCAGCGTGTCCAGGAGCAGACAGCCTGGACATGGGAGGAGATCCTGGAAGGGAAGGGTTCCTGGACATGGGAGGAGATTCAGGCCGGGATGGATCGCCGTCCTTGGGAGGAGACAGTGAAGGCGCGGTATAGAGAGGAGCAGCGGCAACGCAGAAGGCGCCGGCCGAGGAAGAAGCCCGAGAGACAGCCCCAATAATTTTTTTTGGGGGGGCTAAAAGGGTGGTTGGCGGAGCCTAGGGTTAGAGCAGAGCCAACTCCCCGTACTCACGCGAGAAGGCGTATGACTGGGCAAGCTCCGTGTTATGCGGAGCTACGTACTGTGTCGCCAGTGCGCCGGCACAGCCCTGTACGTCCTGTGCTAGCACCACGCATGTGCTGTGCGAAGATGGGCATCCAGCCAGGACGGGGTGTGCCGGCTCAATGCTCCTGGTCTCCAGTACGCCTCCTCGGTCCCGCATATCCTGCGCCGGTTCTACGTACTGTATCGCCAGTACGCGTGCACAGCCCAGTGCGTCCTGTGCCAGCGCCCCGCACGTGTAGTGCGAAAGTGGGTAGCCAGCCAGGACGGGTTGTGCCAGCTCTCCGCTTCAGACCTCCAGTCCGCCTTCGCAGTCCGGTCCGGCCCGTTCCTGCTCCTCGCACCAAGACAGTGGTGCGCGTCGCCAGCCCGGCCTGTTCCTGTCCCTCGCACCAAGCCAGTGGTGCGCGTCGCCAGCCCGGTCCGGCCTGTTCCTGTCCCTCGCACCAAGCCAGTGGTGCGCGTCGCCAGCCCGGCCCGGCCTGTTCCTGCCCCTCGCACCAAGTCAGTGGTGCGCGTCACCAGCCCGGCCCGGCCTGTTCCTGCCCCTCGCACCAAGTCAGTGGTGCGCGTCACCAGCCCGGCCCGGCCTGTTCCTGCCCCTCGCACCAAGCCAGTGGTGCGCGTCGCCAACCCGGCCCGGCCCGGCCTGTTCCTGCCCCTCGCACCAAGCCAGTGGTGCGCGTCGCCAGCCCGGTCCGGCCTGTTCCTGTCCCTCGCACCAAGCCAGTGGTGCGCGTCGCCAGCCCGGCCCAGCCTGTTCCTGCTTCTCGCACCAAGCCAGTGGTGCGCGTCGCCAGCCCGGCCCGGCCTGTTCCTGCCCCTCACACCAAGCCAGTGGTGCGTGTCGCCAGTCCAGCCCGGCCTGTTCCTGTTCCTCGCACCAAGGAAGTGGTGCATGTTCCTAGTCCGGTTCGGCCCGTGCCTGCTCCTCGCACCAGACCAGTGGTGAGTGTGTCCAGTCCGGCACGGCCCGTGCCCGTTCCACCGGTGCCTGGTCCGCCACCAGTCAGCAGCTCCAGTCCGGAGCCAGAGCAGTCCGCTCCACCAGTGCCTGATCCAGCTCTGGTAAGCTGCTCCAGTCCGGAGCCAGAGCAGTCCGCTCCACCGGTGCCTGATCCAGCTCCGGTCAGCTGCTCCACTCCGGAGCCAGAGCAGTCCGCTCCACTGGGGTCCAGTCCAGATCCGGTCAGCGGCTCCACTCCGGAGCCAGAGCAGTCCACTCCACCGGTGCCCGGTCCAGCTCCAGTCAGCGGCTCCAGTCCAGACCCAGACGTCAGCCCCTCTCCAGGTTCGGGGTCTCCCACACCAGGGTCCAGACAGGGCTTGGAGTATAGTGGGAGGAAGGAGAGGGGAAGCAGCGCGCCGAGGTCCAGACCAGACCAGGGGCACAACAGGGAGGCGGAGAATAGGTGGTTGTCACGCCCGGAGCCGGATCCGCCTCTGAGACGGAATGCCCACCCGGCCCCTACCCTGTTAAGTAAAGGTTGTGCGGTCGGAGTCCGCACCTTTGGAGGGGGGGGTACTGTCACGCCCTGACTCTGGGGACTCTTATTTGTTGAGTCAGGGTGTGATTTTCTATGTTGTGATTGTCTATGTTGTATATTCTAGTATGTGTATTTCTTTGTTGGCCGGTGTGGTTCCCAATCAGAGGCAGCTGTCGCTCGTTGTCTCTGATTGGGGCCCATACTTTGGCAGCCTATTGGCACTAGTGGGTTGTGGGATCTTGTTCCGTGTTGAGGTATGTTGTTTGTGTACCTTGGACTTGTTGTTTTGTAGTTGTTTATTCGGTTCAAATAAACATGTATGCATATCACGCTGCGCCTTGGTCTGACCCGTTCATGAACGAACGTGACAATACGTCAGACAAATCATCAGAAATAGGGTTTTGTAAATCAGTTCACTACTGTAAAAATGTAGCACGGTGTTGTATGCCATTTCTGCCCCATCACCTTTTCTACGTGACTTGTCAACTGATACAGTACCGCCTGTCTCGCTGCTTGAAATTCATCAGCTTACAGTGCATCAATGAAATTCATCAGCTTACATTGTATCAATGAAATTCAGATAATGATTTGAACATTGTTAAATGCAAGTTACAACCCAGGTATTTCAGCAATGCATTGTACACTGCACTATAATTCCAAATGGTAGCACATAGAGTGACTCGTTCCACTTTGTCCTATTGAAGCAGACTGGCTGATGGAGAATGATGATGTAGTATTTACAGCTACACTACCGTTCAAAAGTTTGGGGTCACTTAGAAATGTCCTTGTTTTCGAAAGAAAAGCAATTTTTTTGTCTATTAAAATAACATCAAATTGATCAGAAATACAGTGTAAACATTGTTAATGTTGTAAATGGCTATTGTAGCTGGAAACGGCTGATTTTTTATGGAATATCTACATAGGCGTACAGAGGCCCATCATCAGCAACCATCAGTCCAGTGTTCCAATGGCACGTTGTGTTTGCTAATCCAAGTTGATCATTTTAAAAGGCTAATTGACCATTAGAAAACCCTTTTGCAATTATGTTAGCACAGCTGAAAACTGTTGTGCTGATTAAAGAAGCAATAAAACTGGCCTTCTAGAGACTAGTTGCGTATCTGGAGCATCAGCAATTGTGGGTTCGATTACAGGCTCAAAATGGCCAGAAACAAATAGCTTTCTTCTGAAACTCGTCAGTCTTTTCTTGTTCGGAGAAATGAAGGCTATTCCATGCGAGAAATTGCAAAGAAACTGAAGATCTCGTACAACGCTGTGTACTACCCCCTTCACAGAACAGCGCACACTGGCTCTAACCAGAATAGAAAGAGGAGTGGGAGGCCCCGGTGCACAACTGAGCAAGATGACAAATACATTAGAGTGTCTAGTTTGAGAAACAGACGCCTCACAGGTCCTCAACTGGCAGCTTCATTAAATAGTACCCGCAAAACACCAGTCTCAACATCAACAGTGAAGAGGCGACTCCGGGATGCTGACCTTCTAGGCAGATTTGCAAAGAAAAAGCAATATCTCAGACTGCCCATCTTAATCTATTATTTTTATTGGCCAGTCTGAGATATGGCTTTTCTTAACAAATGCAGGAAAATCATATCAAAAGTAACGTGAATATTGCATTTTGAAAAGCAGATACTTAGATTGAATATGCATCCAAACTGAAAGAGGGATTTGGTGCAGTGAACAAGTGACTTTGTCAATTTGTTTGTTATACTCAGTAAATTGAAATGTGCTTAGAGTTTTGAAACATGAGCCGTTTTGATGATCTGTTTTGATGTTTGTGCTTAGAGTTGTGAAAATGTACAACATACTTGTGAAAATTGCACCAAAGTGATTGAAAAAACCCTGTAATTTGATCACCCTGTTGTTGCAGGAACTGCAAACCTGTAGTGTAATTAAGGTTTAAAAAGGCTTCTTAAGTTTGTAATTTCCACTTTAACATTTCAGGCTTCATTTGCCCTAACTAAAAATGTATCAACCCCTATGAACATGTCCATTAATTATAATCCACACAATAATTCACATTTCCTGTTGCTGCAGAATTATTTTTCTGCTGTTAGAAACTGGTCAAATTAAGATCCTACATCAGTACATAAACAGCACTGGAATAAAATCCTGCTGATTAAGGTAAACGAAAAGGAAATTCACAAACTCTTGTGATTGCAGACTACAGAGCTGATACAGCGAGATAATTTTGCAATACATTTTAGTCATTTAGCAGACACTCTTATCCAGAGTGACTTACAGTTAGTGAATACATTTTTTTTTTATACTGGCCCCCCATGGGAATCGAACCCACAACCCTGGCGTTGCAAACGCCATGCTCTATCAACTGAGCTACATCCCTGCCAGCCATTCCCTCCCTTACCCTGGGCCAATTGTGCGCCGCCCATGAGTCTCCCGGTCGCGGCCAGCTGCAACAGAGCCTGGATTTGAACCAGGATCTCTAGTGGCAGAGTTAGCACTGCGATGCAGTGCCTTAGACCACTGCGCCACTCAGGATACCCAACCTCCAGCTGAGTCAGAACAAGCAGAAGGAGAAAATGTCCCCAGTACATCTGCTCAGTGAGCAGCTCCCTCCCTCACACATCCATGAACACATGTGTTTGAAGCGTGCTCAGGGGAACAGAGGTAATCCTGTGGAAAATAACCTGATAATAGGCTTCCTACCCAGCCTATCACAGACTCCCACAGGGGAATGTCATATTTCCACTGCCTGATCACAGACAGGGAGATCGGGCAACACTTTATGACTAAACATGAGGGGAGGAGTGGGAGAGAGAAGGCTGGGGTAGAGTGGGGCCACAGAGGTGTCGTTTGGCTCACCTGCCTCCAGTTGTCGTAGATAAGGATGGTGCAGTCCTCGTCGTCCACGGTAACAGTACGTACATAGCCCTCTCCTAAGGGAGAGACATAGCAGGCAAGTCTCAGGTGGGAGATGGGGGGGAAGAGGGGTTTTAGCCTATGCTTATTTACAAGACATACACATTGCTGGGGTGTTATGCATTGCACACTTTCTACCTGTTAGTATCATAGGCCTATTTTTGTTGAAACACTGACCAACATCCAAACACCAATCAATGTACCTTCAGAATCCACAGATGCAGTTCTATCCAAATCCCCAGCCAAGGCGATAGCAAGGCTTGACTTGCCCACCCCATTTTGCCCCAGCAGGGCAATTCGAAAGGGCCCTTCAGAGGGGGGTCTCCCCTCTACCGCTGAGGTGATGGTCTCATCCTTCGCCGGGCTGAAACTGATTGGAGGAGGAGAAGGTCCAGCCAACCCTGATGTCCAATCACAATCATCATGGACTGCTTCTTCTCGTCTGAGCTGGTGTTTGATTGGCACAGGGGTACTTCCTCTGCGTAAAGGCAGGGCACTGGACAGAGTCATACTGTCACACTAAAAGAGAGACAAATAAATAGATATACACATTATATTCACATATAACATGGACCAACCAGATTCTGACTTTGAGTCCACATTTCCATCAACGTTCCACACTCAGTGGCAGTTTGGCATACACACAGAAATCGCCAATTGTCTAGAAAGCAGGGAAGGTGATGTAGCTTCCCTGTGCAAGGCTGTGATTCCTAATGAACTACCTTAACTTAATCTGTCTCCAGTAAGACTTGACACCAATTGGACTGTAATAGGGAGTGGTCTAGTCACTCTGTACCTGACATGTTATAACTTTCCGTGTGATCCTGTAATAGAAAGCTCTTGTCACATTACTGTATCTCACTTTGTATCTATCACCCTCATCAACACCTACACTGTCTCTGCCTGTCTCCCTATCTCTATCTCCATCTCCCTTTATATTTTCATCTCTCTTTCTCTGTCTCTCTCTTCACACACACACACACACACACACACACACATACACACACACACACACACACATGCACACACACACACACACATTAAGAGATGCAGAGAACCACTCAAGAACTAAATGGTCTCATGCCCATGACAAATTTGATGTTAATGAAATCTGAAGCTCAAAAATAAATAAAGAATCAAAGCCCTTCAATTATGTCACCAGCACCTCCCACGTCTTGTCACTCACATATGGCAGATGTCTTGTGAGGCAACCATTAGGCAAACTATGACATATTTGCATCGATATAAACAGTTCAAAAGCTACGTGCTGCCTCGCACATTGTGTTTAAACATCCCCGCCTACCTTCGCCAGTGTTTCCTCGATATTGATAATGTCTATGAGCGCATCTGTCTGCATCTGCAATGTGAAATACATCGGTCAGAAATCGACTTTTACGGACTCCCGAGCGTTTTCCCGCCCTCCCACTCTTCTCACTCCAGCGCGCTCTACCTCAAAGCCACAGGATGATCTTACCTGGCACAAGACTCGCAGCACCAACAAAGTAAAACCGGATTCTCTCTCTCTCTCTTTCTCTTTCTCTCTCTCTCTTTCATGCGCGCTCACAAACAAACATCACACGCACAGACTCAGAGGCTACATAGACAACACACTTCTCTCTCCCACACAGTTTGCTTTCGTACATTAAGTTCGGTCCTCCTGCAGTGTTTTACCTCGCGCTTCTGCATTATGACTCACTTACATGACGTGTAAATAAATGATCGTTGCCAGCTTTTCATTTTCTTAGACAAAATTGATTTAGGCTATTAAATGTAAAGCTGCGGGAACTGCATCTTCCCTGTAAAGAAAAGGTCAGGCGGAGTCCATCTCTATAAAATGTTTGAATGCAGGAGCTACATGGGTCAGATAAAGCATAAATCATAATCTGTTGATAAGATGCTCATTTCACTCCACTCTAATTTATATTTTGGATGCTGCAGTAACTTGCAATAATAGGTCTACATTTCGGCACTAGGGCGCAGTAGAGTACAGTTTTTTCTTCCAACACCTCTACCATGCATTGCCCTTTTGAGTATGTGTGTGTGTGTGTGTGTGTGTGTGTGTGTGTGTGTGTGTGTTCGTGCATACATGTTTGTGTCTTTGGGCATACAAAGTACTGTACATGTGTTCATTCTTTCTGCGGTCACTTTATCCCTTGGGCAGTGAGGCTTGGCCTCATAACCTCTCTCTCTCTCTCTCTCTCTCTCTCTCTCTATCTCTCTCTCTCTCCCTCTCTCTCTCTCTCTCTCTCTCTCTCTCTCTCTCTCTCTCTCTCTCTCTCTGTCTGCCTCTCTCATATCATATTAGGCTATCTAAATCTTAGCACTGTGTTTCCTGTTGTTGGTATTTCCTGTCTCTCTCTATCATGCTCTCTGTAAATATTATTTTACACTGGGAAAAAAACACTATGCAATTTATCACCTCTGATATTTGCGAGCTGAGATTGTATGAATGTGAATTCATTTACGCGTCACTGTAAACTATGTGTATTCCAACATATGTTTTGTGTGACTGCCTGAATGTGAGTGTGAGTGGCTGTGTGTAACAGCCTGAGTGGGGTGAGTGTTCATGTTACTCTGTGTACGTCCTCTGCACACAATGCTACAATGGACTCCGGCAGTGAGCAGTCAGGGCGCTATTATAGCCCTAATCCTTTCCCTATTATACAGGCCAGAGAGAGCGAGAGACACAGAGAGGGAGGCAGGGCCTAGGGTGAGGTCATCCCAAACAGCGCTCAGCCAGGGTCACTGCCTCTCTATAGAGGGACACACAGAACGACAGAGAGATGGAGGGAGAGAGAAATGGGAGAGGGGATGAGGTAGAGAACAGGTCTACAGGAGATTGGAAAAGTGGGAGGGACAGAGAAGGGATAGAGAGAGGGATTACTAGGTATTTAAAGCACATGTGAAACGGAGACAAAGAGAGAAATTCAGAAAAATAGTGCAAAATAAACATAGCTGCCAAGGATGGTAAAAATATTGTATTTATTTCATAGGAAACCACACTACAATAGGAGAATAAACAATGATGGCAATAATGATTGTAATCATACTATTGAAAATAATCAAAAAGATCATTGAAATATTGATTTATCCTGCTTGAAAATAAAAGTACACACTAAGCTTGTAGATTAAATTGTAAACCAGTAAAATGAAAATAATAAGAATTGGTACATAAATAAACTATTAATAAATACTGTGAATAAATAAGTGAATAAATAAAACAGATAAATCAATTAATTAACCTACACCTAGCCAAACAATTAGCTCTAATGTAGCTAGCCTGGTAACATTTCATGAGATAGTTAAGAGAGGTGTCTTTGAATGTCTGCATTTTCTTGCATTTCAACCCAGTTTTTAAGAATCCACAGTGTCCAGCTCTGTGGTGCTTGTTGCATTATAGTTGTCGCTCTCTTACAAAAGTGTTTTCAGCACAACCTAGATTGTATTATTAAAGCTTGAAGACAATACACAGTAACACAGTTCATTTAGCACTCTGTTGCTTTTTTGGGGGGGATTTTCTTTGTACAGACCTACAGTGGGGAGAACAAGTATTTGATATACTGCCGATTTTGCAGGTTTTCCTACTTACAAAGCATGTAGAGGTCTGTAATTTTTATCATAGGTACACTTCAACTGTGAGAGACGGAATCTAAAACAAAAATCCAGAAAATCACATTGTATGATTTTTAAGTAAATAATTTGCATTTTATTGCATGACATAAGTATTTGATACATCAGAAAACCTTTGTTTGCAATTACAGAGATCATACGTTTCCTGTAGGTGTTGACCAGGTTTGCACACACTGCAGCAGGGATTTTGGCCCACTCCTCCATACAGACCTTCTCCAGATCCTTCAGGTTTCGGGGCTGTCGCTGGGCAATATGGACTTTCAGCTCCCTCCAAAGATTTTCTATTGGGTTCAGGTCTGGAGACTGGCTAGGCCACTCCAGGACCTTGAGATGCTTCTTACGGAGCCACTCCTTAGTTGCCCTGGCTGTGTGTTTCGGGTCGTTGTCATGCTGGAAGACCCAGCCACAACCCATCTTCAATGCTCTTACTGAGGGAAGGAGGTTGTTGGCCAAGATCTCACGATACATGGCCCCATCCATCCTCCCCTCAATACGGTGCAGTCGTCCTGTCCCCTTTGCAGAAAAGCATCCCCAAAGAATGATGTTTCCACTTCCATGCTTCACGGTTGGGATGGTGTTCTTGGGGTTGTACTCATCCTTCTTCTTCCTCCAAACACGGCGAGTGGAGTTTAGACCAAAAAGCTCTATTTTTGTCTCATCAGACCACATGACCTTCTCCCATTCCTCCTCTGGATCATCCAGATGGTCATTGGCAAACTTCAGACGGGCCTGGACATGCGCTGGCTTGAGCAGGGGGACCTTGCGTGCGCTGCAGGATTTTAATCCATGACGGCGTAGTGTGTTACTAATGGTTTTCTTTGAGACTGTGGTCCCAGCTCTCTTCAGGTCATTGACCAGGTCCTGCCGTGTAGTTCTGGGCTGATCCCTCACCTTCCTCATGATCATTGATGCCCCACGAGGTGAGATCTTGCATGGAGCCCCTGACCGAGGGTGATTGACCGTCATCTTGAACTTCTTCCATTTTCTAATAATTGCGCCAACAGTTGTTGCCTTCTCACCAAGCTGCTTGCCTATTGTCCTGTAGCCCATCCCAACCTTGTGCAGGTCTAAATTTTTATCCCTGATGTCCTTACACAGCTCTCTGGTCTTGGCCATTGTGGAGAGGTTGGAGTCTGTTTGATTGAGTGTGTGGACAGGTGTCTTTTATACAGGTAACGAGTTCAAACAGGTGCAGTTAATACAGGTAATGAGTGGAGAACAGGAGGGCTTCTTAAAGAAAAACTAACAGGTCTGTGAGAGCCGGAATTCTTACTGGTTGGTAGGTGATCAAATACTTATGTCATGCAATAAAATGCAAATTAATTACTTAAAAATCATACAATGTGATTTTCTGGATTTTTGTTTTAGATTCCGTCTCTCACAGTTGAAGTGTACCTATGATAAAAATTACAGACCTCTACATGCTTTGTAAGTAGGAAAACCTGCAAAATCGGCAGTGTATCAAATACTTGTTCTCCCCACTGTATTTGACCACAACAGCTGCAGCAACCATAGTTTCTTGCTTCACATCTTTCTTGCTTCACTGATTGATTGTGGAAATCCGAAAGTACAGGTTGACAGAAGAAGTCTCAATGGAGGTCAGTTCATCCTCTTTTCATGAAACAAAACACCAATCACAGATAGCACACTGCAATTATTCTTCATTGTCATTATGACAAATAGTTATGTTATTTTCAACAAGCAAAGTATGGATTATTTAATTAAAAAAATTATGTATCTACTTTATACATGAGTGTTTATGTCTATTATTAATTTAGCACAGCTGCAGAAATTGTCTCAGGAAAAGGATCCTTGTACATTAATTTTCTATGATTATTCATCTTAGAAATGTGATAGTGAGTAACAAGTCTTGGTGAGAAAAAACACCTTGGTAGGCAACTGTGAAATATTCGCTGGCGAGTACAACTGCATGCCATGGACACTTGAAGATCATACACCACCACACATCCAATACCACTGCAGTACTCAGACCTTTGGGTTTCCAATGAGCCCAGTCAACCTGCACCATCACAGTGTGCATGTCAGGGCCTGGATTCAACCCAATCATTGTCTGGATATCAGTTCATCTTTTCATTTGTTCTGCTTGAAAGAAATGTGCATAGATAGGTTGATAGTGTTAGGGGCGATGAATGATACGATGGAGTTTGTTTATTGAAGACAAGCCCTTGGGTTCACATTGTTCAGTTTGAGGATGACCTGTGACCTTCCATGCCCTGATTTCACCAGTGCAGGATGCATCCTGAAGATGTCTCATTGAGTCTTTGTGCTCCTATGAATGTCATAGTGATATCAAAACTGAAATCTTCACCATTAGTCCTGTTTATGAAGCAATCAAGGGCCCGATTCTAACCCTAAGTTAACAGTCAAGGGCCAGCTGATTGCTCAGCGGGTTGATTTCACAGTCATATACAGTACCGGTCAAAAGTTTGGACAGATCTACTCATTCAAGGGTTTTTCTTTCTTTTTACTATTTTATACATTGTAGAATAATAGTGAAGACATCAAAACTATGAAATAACACATATGGAATCGTTTAGTAAGCAAAAAAAGTGTTAAACAAATCAAAATATATTTTATATTTGAGATTCTTCAAATAGCCACCCTTTGCCTTGATGACAGCTTTGCACACTCTTGGCATTCTCTCAACCAGCTTCACCTGGAATGCTTTTCCAACAGTCTAGAGTTCCCACATATGCTGAGCACTTGTTGGCTGCTTTTCCTTCACAAACAAATGATAGTCCCACTAAGCCCAAACCAGATGGGATGGCGTATCACTGCAGAATGCTGTGGTAGCCATGCTGGTTCAGTGTGCCTTGAATCACAGACAGTGTCACCAGCAAAGCTCCCCCACACCATAACACCTCCTCCTCCATGCTTTACTGTGGGAAATACACATGTGGAGATCATCCGTTCACCCACACGCGTCTCACAAAGACACGGCAGTTGGAACCAAAAATCTCAAATTTGGACTTCAGACCAAAGGACAAATTTCCACCGGTCTAATGTCCATTGCTCGTGTTTCTTGGCCCAAGCAAGTCTCTTCTTCTTATTGGTGTCCTTTAGTAGTGGTTTCTTTGCAGCAATTCGACCATGAAGGCCTGAAGTCCCCTCTGAACAGTTGATGTTGAGATGTGTCTGTGACTTGAACTCTGTGAAGCATTTATTTGGGCTGCAATTTCTGAGGCTGGTAACTCTAATGAACTTATCCTCTGCAGCAGAGGTAACTCTGGGTCTTCCATTCCTGTGGCCGTCCTCATGAGAGCCAGTTTCATCATAGCGCTTGATGGTTTTTGCGACTGCAAAGTTCTTGAAATGTTCCGTATTGACTGACCTTCATGATTTAAAGTAATGATGAACTGTCGTTTCTCTTTGCATATTTGAGCTGTTCTTGCCATAATATGGACTTGGTCTTTTATCAAATAGGGCTATCTTCTATATACCACCCCTACCTTGTCACAACACAACTGATTGGCTGAAACGCATTAAGAAGGAAAGAAATTCCACAAATTAACTTTTAACAAGGCACACCTGTTAATTGAAATGCATTCCAGGTGACTGCACCATGAAGCTGGTTGATAGAATGCCAAGAGTGTGCAAAGCTGTCATCAAGGCAAAGAGTGGCTATTTGAAGAATCTCAAATATAAAATATATTTTGATTTGTTTAACACTTTTTTGGTTACTACATGATTCCATATGTGTTATTTCATAGTTTGATGTCTTCACTATTATTCTACAATGTAAAAAACCCTTGAATGAGTAGGTGTGTCCAAACCTTTGACTGGTATCGTAGGTCCTAGTCCTAACCCCACTACCCGCCTGCCAACCTCCACACACGCACACACCCCAAACCCTCCCTCCCTCCCAAAGTCTGATTTCTCAGTGACAGCCTTATTTAGGCTAACCTGCACTTTCACCCCGCTCTCATCCCTCACTTTCTCTGTCGTCTCGTCTTGGTATGTCCTCAGAGGAAGTAGTCAGGGGGTGGTGAGGGGGGGTTGTTGGTAGATGGAGCCTCGTTTGTACTGACAAGCTTTTCGTAGCGAGCCTTGTAGGCGTCCCTCTCCCTCAGCACCCGAGATAGCTCACGCTGTAGCTGTTCCAACTGAGGAGAGAGACAGACAGGAGAGAGTTATTAGAGCTTTTATTTTGTAGTGGTTGGCAGTGGTGTGTTGTTGTTGTGTGTTTGTGTGTCCTACCTGTTGTGTGAGGACGTGTTTCTCGGACTCCAGTGCATGGCGGTGCTGCAAGCGTTTGTAGCGACAGGACTGGGCGTAGCCTCGATTCTTTAGCGTACGACGTTTCTGCTTGAGACGCACCACCTCGTCCTTACTGATGCCACGCAGGTGTCTGTTCAGCTCCCGTACCGACAGGCTCACAAGCTGCTCGTCTGAGAAACGCTCATCCACCCCACCACACTGCACACAGAGACAGAGGGAAATAGATATGGTTACTTCCAAATGTTGACATGAATTACAGTTATACAGAATAGAGAGGACTTAAAACATTTTGACTGACTTTCAATATATTTAGTAGGAAATATGATGGAGCTAGTGTATAGTTCACTAGTTATAAGTAGGCCTACAATACTGATACGAGACTTCAGTCTGCTATTCTATTTCAAAATGATACTGTGGTCGTGCGTCTGTGTGTGTGTCTGAGTTGTGCATGTGTGGTTGTGTGCGTGATGTGAGAGTGTGCCTAGCTGTGTGTGTCAGGGGGAACATTTTTGTACCACATGTCCATAATCTGTCAGGTAATCTGACTGATTGTGAGTGACAGTAATCAGGGTTATACACCGCAATAATAGCAGATATTATCATAAGCTCACACTGTGCTCCACATACTGTACAGAGATTCTTTCAGACACCTGGTTGGGGAATGCAGCTATAGAACAGTACTGAACTTTCCATATACAATAGCACTAGCAGCCCCACACACAGCTCCTTCAACTCTAGAACAGCTAGGGGAAAATCAAATTCTAATCAAATCAAAACCCTGGAGTTATTAATGTGGCCTAGTAAGTATTAGCTTTAACACAGTTCATATATCAACGTTGATGTATCTATTAAAAGGAGAACAATTGCTCCCTTTTTTACATTTCCTCCAATATTCTGTACTTGCCTGCAGGACAAACAATGCATTTTTAAACAAGGAAGGTCTACAGATAAACTCATTGTCATCTCAGAGTAGAGGCATGTTTTCTATACTTATAACAGGTAGACGGCAAGCACACATAATCATGTTCTAATGTTCTAATTCTAATCCTTTACAGTGTGATCCCTCTATCACCTCTCCCTCCCCTCTTCCATATGCTCCTGCTCCATCCAGTACTGTCGCTGTTGTTGCTAGCCTGTTGCTAGCCTTCTCGTTATTCTTATCTCTGTTATTCTACCATCTTTTGTTTCATACTGTCATGCCCCCTGACCCCATTAATTACTTGGAGGTGATGATGATGGTGATGATGATGGCCATGCATGGGGTGGTGCGGGTGGTGATGATGATGATGTGGATGATGGTGATGAAGTCGGTCAGAGGGGCTCTGGGGTTGTGGGTAGGATGCTGAAGAGGGGTTGGTGTCGGGGAGCGATTGAGGGACAGAGGAGAGGTAGAGGAGTGGACGATGGCACATATCTGTCCCCTTGGCGCAGGAAATGTCACCTCCACTGTCACTGCCTGAATCCCCCAGGTTACTGCTGGAACTCTGGGAAAGCACTGGGAACTGAGAGCAAGTATACACAGTGGAGGATTGGAACAAGGGAGAGAGAGAGAAAAATAAATATAAATATTGATTATAGTCTATCTATGTCATTCCGAACCCACTATCAAAAGTGAATAACAACATATTATTTACAGACATCCACAGACAATATAGACAGTGTTACATACCTGTGAGTTTACAGCTGCAGCAGCTGAGTTCAGTAGAGCCTCCACTGCGTCCTCACAGCCCAGGAAGCTGCCGACCGACCCTCTTTCTCTGTCTCCCCGCTCTGGCCCGCCTCCCAAGGCCCCCAGCAGGGACGCAGGTCCCCCCGCCTCCCCTCCAAACTGCTGCTGCAGCGCTGCAAGCCAGATCAGGTCCTCCAAAGAGGCAGGGTTAGGACCCTGGGCACCCCCATTGGAGGGGCTACCCTCCACATTCCCCTGAGATCCAGAACTGATGCCAGAGGTGTAGCTGTTTGAGATGGACAGAGGGAAGGAGATGGAGGAGGAGGAAGGGGAGAGGGAGGAAGAGGCTGAGGGAGGTGGGTGGGCATCGCTCAGCGTTGGAGAGGGGGGCATGGAGTTGTATGGGCTGGAGCTGAGGCTAGTGTAGGGACCAGGGGAAGTGGAGGGGTCGTGGGGGAGGCCAGACTTGGGGAATGTACAGGGGGGAGGGAGAGGAGGAGTGTCAGGCTTCACCTCAAACTTAAGGAGGTCAAAGTCATTGAGGTACTCCATGGCCAGTGGACTGGGGGGGAGGGAGGGCATGGGGAGAGAGGGAGACGACATGGCCACGGCTTTGGGAGCAGACTGAGTTTGTCTGTGTGTCAAGGTTGTGTGTTAATCCACCTCTCTGTCTTAGTGCAGCAGCAGTCCAAACAGGCTCGATGCCTCCCAACTCTCAGACAGCCCTGGTGTCCAGTAATGGACTGACTGGCGACTGTCCTCTGTGTAAAAAACAGTCTTCCTGTGTCCTTGTGTGTTTCTTCTTGGTCCTGTCAGAGAGAGAGAAAATGGCATAGGTGATTGTTCTCTCAAAGCTTGTGTAAAGTCATGAAAACAACATCTCTATGTGTTAGGTAGACAGGAACTGAGGTCAAGATAACATCTCTAATGAGGATAGAGAAGAGGCCAGAGAAGAGGACAGGATGTGGGAAACAACACAAGAACAACAATCTGGCCATTGACGGATGAACCTCTTTATCAGACCTCTCTCTCTATGGCTTACAATTTGTCTGAGCATGTACAAGTAATGAACTAGTTACAAAACAATTATTGCAACTTTCCAGAAAGTAGAGAAATCAGGACTCTCACCCTATGCACCCAATCAAGTGGTTTTACAGCAGTGTGTGAGGTAGTGTTATTCTCCAGCGAGAGTACAGTTGAAGTCAGAAGTTTACATACACCTTAGCCAAATACATTTAAACTCAGTTTTTCACAATTCCTGACATTTAATCCTAGTAAAAAATTCCCTGTCTTAGGTCAGTTAGGATCACCACTTTATTTTAAGAATGTGAAATGTCAGAATAATAGTAGAGAGAATTATTTATTTCAGCTTTTATTTCTTTCATCACATTCCCAGTGGGTCAGAAGTTTACATACACTCAATTAGTATTTGGTAGCATTGGTTAACTTGGGTAAACCGTTTCAGGTAGCCTTCCACAAGCTTCCCACAATAAGTTGGGTGAATTTTGGCCCATTCCTCCTGACAGAGCTGGTGTAACTGAGTCAGGTTTGTAGGCCTCCTTGTTCGCACATGCTTTTTCAGTTCTGCCCACAAACTTTCTATAGGATTGAGATCAGGGCTTTGTGATGGCCACTCCAATACATTTACATTTACATTTTAGTCATTTAGCAGACGCGCTTATCCAGAGCGACTTACAGTTAGTCAGTGCATACATTTTCATACTGGCCCCCTGTGGAAAACGAACCCACAACCCTGGTGTTGCAAGCGCCATGCTCTACCAACTGAGATACAGTTGTGGCCATTTTGCCACAACTTTGGAAGTATGCTTGGGGTCATTGTCCATTTGGGAGACCCATTTGCGACCAAGCTTTAACTTCCTGACTGATATCTTGAGATGTTGCTTCAATATATCCACATAATTTTCCTTCCTCATGATGCCATCTATTTTTTGAAGTGCACCAGTCCCTCCTGCAACAAAGCACCCCCACAGCATGATGCTGCCACCCCCGTGCTTCACGGTTGGGATGGTGTTCTTTGGCTTGCAAGCCCCCCCTTTTTCCTCCAAACATAACGATGGTCATTATGGCCAAACAGTTCTATTTTTGTTTTATCAGACCAGAGGACATTTCTCCAAAAAGTATGATCTTTGTCCCCATGTGCAGTTGCAATCCGTAGTCTGGCTTTTTTATGGCGGTTTTGGAGCAGTGGCTTCTTCCTTGCTGAGCAGCCTTTCAGGTTATGTCGATATAAGACTCGTTTTACTGTGGATATAGATACTTTTGTACCTGTTTCCTCCAGCATATTCACAAGGTCCTTTTCTGTTGTTCTGGGATTGATTTGCACTTTTTGCACCAAAGTACGTTCATCTCTAGGAGACAGAACGCGTCTCCTTCCTGAGCATTATGACGGCTACGTGGTCCCATGGTGTTTATACTAGTGTACTATTGTTTGTACAGATGAACGTGGTACCTTCAGGCGTTTGGAAATTGCTCTCAAGGATGAACCAGACTTGTGGAGGTCTACCATTTATTTATTTTTTATCCAGAGCGACTTACAGTTAGTGAGTGCATACATTTTTCATACTGGCCCCCCGTGGGAATCGAACCCACAACCCTGGCGTTGCAAGCGCCATGCTCTACCAACTGAGCTACAAGAGAGATAGGTATACCCATATTATACACCTAATATTTTGGTCAAGATTTTTGACACCATGTGTGAGATTACATGACTGGAATGGTGTGATGCTTAAATAATTGACTATGGGGTGACTTTGGTCATTATCAAGTCCAACTAAACTTTTTTTGCTGTCTGAAATTTCAAAGCTCTCTGAATTTCAGGGACAAATTAGTAAACACTGCAATAGGATAGAACCCATCTCATAGCTTCAGTATTTTCTTAATTGAATGACATTCATTCATTTAATAACATAACAAGTCAAAGTACATTTCAGTCATTCAAAAAGCATTAATTTTTTATTATCCTAATAACAGAAGAGATTTCCAAGCCCATGAGACAAAATCCCATAAAATTTCAACAACTGTTTCAAAGCGAAGGTTGTGACTGAATGAAGACCTGTAACTTTTCTCTGCTGTTTTATTCCTTAAGGGTAATTTAACGAAGAAACACTTGTACAGAGCAGATAATCTAACTGAATATTTTATAAATAGATATTAATGACAGAACAACATAGACTTCAAATACATTCTCCAACATTCACTGAACATGTCAAAAGATATTAAACTCACAGAAAATTGATACTTTTTTTAAATGATAGAACATTTTGAAACTTCAACTTTTGGCTAATTACCACACAACAATTACATAAACAAATGGAAAATCTGTCTGATCATGTACAAGTGCATATTTCTAAATACAGTACTATTACTTTATCTTGAAAATCAATCATTTGAAATCTGAACAACAACCACAAATTTGATAGTACAACATCCCAAACTATTTCTACAACAAATACTTAATCAGTATCAGCACTGATTATACTGATGATAATCATCATAATTACTGTCAAATTAATAATAATGACAACCCATGTCAGACAGATGGTTCTACTGGTTCCACACATTAATTGTACCCCCTGATGTCCCCTATGGACCATGACAGAGAGAGCAAACTGTGATGGGGCGCCACAGAGGCCTCAACCTGGCTTCGGCCCAGAGTACAGGGAGAGAGAACCAACAGAAAGAGAGAGAGACATAGGGAAAGAGAGAGAACAAACAGAAAGAGAGAGAGACATAGGGAAAGAGAGAGAACCAACAGAAAGCGAGAGAGATAGGGAAAGAGAGAGAACCAACAGAAAGAGAGAAAGACATAGGGAAAGAGACAGTGACATAGGGAAAGAGAAAGAACCAACAGAAAGACAGAGAGACATAGGGAAAGAGAGAGAGACAGTGAAAGAGCGAGAACCAACAGAAAGAGAGCGAGACACAGGGAAAGAGAGAGAACCAACAGAAAGAGAGAGAGACATAGGGAAAGAGAGAAAAAAGTAGAATGACACTAGGGAGAGATAAAGGCCTGAAAGAGAGAGGGATGAGAGGGAAGGAAAAGAGGAGATGTAGTTGAAAAATAAGTTCTTACCGTAGGTCATAGATAGGATGATTGATTTGGAGGTCCTCTCACCATTTCCCCCCACAAAAGTGACTAAACTGACTGACAGATTTACCGACACACGTTCACAGAGAGAGACAATAAAAAAGAGAATGTGTGTGCGCATATGACACTCTGTCACTGAGTGGCACTGCCCCCTCTCTTTCTCTCCTCTCTGTTGCAAATCCCTCTCTCCCTCTCTTCATCACACTCCCCTCTTCTCTCACCCCAATATCCCTCTCTAGAGCCATGGCTCTCTGCAATCATGGTCCAAATCTCTCTCTCTCTCTCTCTCTCTCTCTCTCTCTCTCTCTCTCTCTCTCTCTCTCTCTCTCTCTCTCTCTCTCTCTCTCTCTCTCTCTCTCTCTCTCTCTCATTCTGTCCCCCCAACTCCACTAGCCCCCACATTTTTTGACCTTTTTCTCATTGGCAAAAATACCATTAACTCTGTTTAAAATGTAATATGTTTTGCATCAACATACACCCATGCACCTACACCCATCCCCCAAATGAACTCTCCACACACGCACGCACACACACACACGCACGCACACACACACTCACACACATTAAACCCATCAGGTTGTCACATGCCAGATCATATTATAAACCATGCTAAGCGTTTGGTGGTAACACCACAATGAGCGTGCATATCCAGGCATGTCATGATGTCACCTTATCAATGCTTAATGACATATACTTTCTTCCATTTGCTGCTACAGTGAACTGCTACTGCTACACACATGTTTATGAAGATAGCCATGTTGACAGCTTATCAACAGCGATCTGGTAAGGTTGTATTGAAACTTGATTGATGGGTTTGTTGGCTCTCTACCTCCACACAGTGGACACTCTGATTCAGAGGCGTTGGGTTAAATGCAGAAGACACATTTCGGTTGAATGTATTCAGTTGGGCAACTGACTACAGTGCCTTCAGAAAATATTCACACCCCTGAACTTTTTTCACATTTTGTTGTGTTAAAGCCTGAATTTAAAATTGATTAAACTGAGATTTTGTTTCACTGGCCTAGATTCAATACCCCATAATGTCAAAGTGGAATTATGCTTTTTGATTTTCTTTACAAATTAATACAAAATCAAAAGCTGAACTGTCTGGAGTCAATAAGTATTCAACCCCTTTGAATGCAAAGAAGGGCACCTATTGGTAGATGGGTAAAAGAAAAAGCAGACTTTGAATATCCCTTTGAGCATGGTGAAGTTATTAATTACACTTTGGATGGTGTATCAATACACTCAGTCACTACAAAGATACAGGTGTCCTTCCTAACTCAGTTGCTGAAGAGGAAGGAAACCGCTCAGGGATTTCACCATGAGGCCAATGTTGACTTTAAAACAGTTACAGAATTTAATGGCTTTGATAGGAGAAAACTGAGGATGGATCAACAACATTGTAATAACTCCTAAATGACAGAGTGAAAAGAAGGAAACCTGTACAGAATAAAAAATATTCCAAAAAAAACATGCATCCTGTTTGCATTAA